CAAAAGTGGTGTAAACTGCAGGAAGACATACCTGAACAGTGTTAACTTATATACATGTTTATTTTTTCCAGATGTAAGTTACAATTTTGTAAAATGTAAGTTACATTTTTGAGGCCTGGGGGATGTCTGACCCACCTTGAGGCCTCAAAATTGTAAGTTGCAATTTTTCACGTGATTTAGTAATTGTAAGTTACATGATCGAGGTATCAAACCCAGGAAATTGTAACTTACAATTAGGTGACGCCCCCCTAGGTAATTGGTAGGGATGTTCAATCCAATTCCATCCATTTATGGGAGACTCACCGTTTTCTTCCTACGACTGGAGCCCAGTGCAGTCGGCAGCACAGCCGGGTCGTCTTGCCGTTGGTCATAGAGCTTGCCGGTCGTCTCGTCCGCCTGGGCTTTCGTTCTGCGATGGTTCTGCGATGAATGGCTGTTCTGCTTCGCCGGCGCACGCTGATGGCGCAAAAAGTCGACTGTTTCCCCCCTAGCCATGTTTTGCTCTTTGTGACTCTTTGTGGAAAGGTTTCTGGGCCACGTTTCGTGCGGAGACATGTTTTGTTCATGAGGGGTCGTAACTACCTAACTAGCGCTAGATTGCTCATCATGGTCTCTTCCAATCTCAAACCTCTGTCGTTTCGTGACGTTTCTTCCGCGTTTTGAGCGACAAGTTCTACGATCCGCACATGGCTTTTAGAGTCCAAACTGGGTGAAAAAGAAGGGCCGAATGAGTTCTCCGACATGCGCACGCGGTGTCGTATCGTTCGGCGGATGAACGGGTCACTGGGCTATATTGAACCACTGGGTCACTGGGTCGTCGTCTATTGGGCCAGACACATGCTTCGCAAAAAGGCCAGTCAAACCGAAGAGAAACCCAATGGTTTTTTTGATGGTGAGGCAAAACCTAAAGGAGGCGTAGTCTACGGCTTTGTTTTCCCCCTTTGGTTCGATGATCAGAACTTCAGGTGGTTGGAGAAGTTTGTCCACCACGACATCTGGCATTGGTTCCAATTGGTGGATGCTGGACATCACTGGCGCTGCTGGCGCTTGAGGGTTCACATCGTCTACGATCCGCTCTTTTTCCATCACCAGAGGCATGCGGCGGAAAGGGGATGGAACCTAGATGAGTTGCATACCGCTACGCACCTAGATTAAGGATGGCTTTTGCTTCAACTGACTTTTTAACGAGTACCAATCAGAAAGAGATCTAGTATTGTTCTGATTGTATTAACGTGCATTGTGTTTACCCAAAGAGGGGGATGAGTCTCAAAGTACCACGAACAGTCATCCTGAAGTAGACAGAGAAGCATGGCGATTTTTGGACGGAAGGTTTCTCCCATGCCATCTACTTGTGGATCATTGACCTACCAACCCAAAATCTGGCGAAAGTGACAGCGAACCGTTCCCTTGTGATTCGATAGATCCTACTTTTTCCTTACCATGACCCCTTTGGGTCCACCGAAGACCCCGCGGGACGGCGGGATGGTGCTCGGTGCTCGGTGCTGAACGTGAAGACGCCGCGTGGGATCACGTCCCGCAGAACACCCCGACCGGCAGGATCACCCGGGAGGCGGATCACATCGGAGGCGTCGCCGTCTTCGAGGAGCGCAAGGACCGGCCCGGTGACCGTCGTGGACAGCGGGCTTTCGGTCGAGCGTTCGGTGTCAGTGGAGTGTTCGGTCGAGCAGGTTGGAGGGGGGACTTCGCCAGTTTCTTTTGCGGTGGCGATTTGGGGGAGAGGAGTCAAGGTGATCTTGACGTTATCAAAGAGGTGTCCACAGTTCACACTTTTAACATCCTTTAGCTAGCTAACAGTTATTTAGGTTTGTTTCCTCCAGCTGTTCTCGGCATACTTCCGAAGTCTTGAGCAATACATAGCAATACAGTACTCATTATGATCGCTCTTTACCACGACTTGACTATTGACAATCACTGGCCCAAAGCACTTTCTTTACCAGCTGGATTTGCAATCTCCAAGCTTAGTGAGTTATATATATATATATGTTATACACCGGAGATTTAGAACTTACACTCCAGCGGGAAACATATGCAACATGTGAATGGAACGGGATGCAACCCACAAACCCGAACGCAAACACGTACTCGAAAACAAACACCCAAAAAAAGAATGACACTCTTGTAGGAGACACATCTGTGGGACACTCTTGTAGGACACATTCTTTTCGGAAACCTTTGTGGGACACTCTTGTGCACTCTTGTGGGACACCCTGTATGACACTCACTCTTGCGGGGCACTCTAGCGGAACACTCTTGTAGGACACACTTGCGAAAAAACACTCTTGTAGGACATTCTTGTGGGATGTGTCGCTCTCGTGAGACACTCTCGTAGGACACTCTTGTCGGACGCTGTTGTCGGACACTCTGGTGGGGCACTCTTGCGGAACTCTCTTGTAGGACTCTCTTGAGGGACACTCTTGTAGGACACTCTCGTAGGACACTCTTGTGCAACACTCTCGTGGGACACTCTTCTAGGACACTCTTGAGGGACACTCTTGTAGGGCACTCTCGTAGGACATTCTTGTGGGACACTCTTGTGGGACACTCTTGTAGGAAACTCTTGTAGGACACTCTTGTAGGACACTCTTGTGGGTCACTCGTGTAGGAAACTCTTGTGGGACACTCTTACCCTTACAGTCTTGTGGGACACTCTTGTAGGGGACTCTTGAGGGACACTCTTGTAGGACACTCTTTCTTGTATGACGCTCACTCATGGAGGGCACTCTTGCGGAACACTCTTGTCGGACACTCTTGTGGGACACCCTGCTGCAGGCACTCTTGTAATTGTAGGACACTCTTGTCGGACACGATGTATACGATACCTTCTGAAGCCGTTTGATACCTACTCATACCTATTCCTGAACCATCAGATGCTTAGTTGTTTGCAAGCACCATCAAAAGCAACCAAACACACTGCAAAAAAAGAATATATATAGTGCCCCCTCAGACAAATCAAGTCCTTGCTCTGAACAGTATTATAACCGTATGAAAAAGGTGTACATGTACTGTATATACACAGCGGATTGATTCTGATTGTCCACCGGCCTGCCATCCTGTCACTACCATGCACTTTTCAGAGTCATCCCAGATGGTGAGAGCCAGATAAGCACTTAGTTAACTGTCCATATGGAACACTCTCTCAAAGCAGATTTCCACTGCGGATTCTCATTTTCCAGGCGCAGCAAGTTGCGGCCAACGCTGAGCAAGCCGACGAGGTCACTTCGTCGGTCCGAGCGTGAAAACATCAGACACCAGTGACGGACACACACACACATAAACACCCGATGCGATCGCAAGGAGACGGTCACGCTGGATGTGCCTCCCGAAGAGCAGCTCGGAAGAAACAGTGTCCTGAATAGTGTCATTGTTACTATACCTAGAGGACCCATTGATATTAGAAAATCTAGCTACGAAGAAAACGCCATACGAAGTCTCAGAATCCATGACGTTTTGGGAGACTTTGGTCGAGCACAAAAAATTAAGTCGACTTGGGCTCGGTTCCTGGCCACTCACTGCGTACACATCTGCTCACACTTTTTTCTGCTCGTTGGAAGATGTAGGTATATATATATATATCTCTCTCTCTCTCTTGCTTGTCTTAGTGGCACAAGAGCAGCTTTTTCCTGGCTGAGGATGGCAGCGATCAAGAGCCTCTTGAACGCTCACGAAACCCTTACACCGTTGGCGACGGCAGTGTGACACTGAGAGGAAGCCACCAGGCGGTGCGCGCGTGCTTCCGTTTCGCCCGCATCTCTTTTGTTTCGCTTTTCTTCGTTAACTCACAATCTGGTCCCAGTTTCTTCTTCTGTATCCGGTTAGTTGAGCCTTTTGGTCTGCGCAGGCAGTCCACGTTGCCATGAAGGCAGGTGGGAGGATTACTTTTGCTTTTGATCGCATTCGGCTGCAAGCGGCCTTTCCACCTTGGAAGCTCTTTGATTCTTTGTCTTTTTGAGTGGAACACTGCTCACCCTGCTCACGTTTTGGGTGGATAAGATCCGAACCCCCACTGCTCACTCCCACGCAACCCCAAGCAGTGTTAACCGCGACCCCTCCGCGGTGCAGTTGGGTGAAGACGGGCTAGATGACAGCAGGCGTCTCATTACGGCCAGAACGAACCTAGGATCTCCCAAGAGCACACAACTGCAGAACAGATTCCGTCACATCAAGATGCCAAGCAGCTGGGCGCGGGCTTCCCGCACTGCTGCGGCCGGTTCTTCCTTCCCCAGGCCCTCGTTCTTTGCCTTCACCCATGCTTTCGAATAGACCTCGACGAGACTGCTTCAATTAAAACAGAACATGTTCTACAAGCAAGCTGACATTCAGTTCTTTCAGGACTCCAGACAGTCCAATTTCACTAAGATACACAGTGGCACTTTCTTGAAATTCATTCTTCTCCTTTCTGCCGGACGCCGGCTTCTTCTTTGCAGCGCCATTCCTGTTCCTCTTGCATGGGCTCTTTGAAACCGTTGCTGTCCCCTTCACGCTTGCCTTGACATGCAGATTTTGGCTTTGCCTTTGCCAAAGGGGCAGGCAGATCCTTGGATTACAAACGAGCCACCTGCAAACCACTGGACGGAGAAACCAAGAGCAGCAGGGACGAGCGTTTGTGATTTATACGCTTTCCAGCTTCAGTCAAGGGGCTGGGTCTGATTCACCCATGTGATCCTGTCATGCCAAGTTGATAAGTAGTAGGATGGTGTTGGATGCACTGATCTGTTGATGGAGACCGTGCCCTGAAAGCCTCACCTTTGAAGCCTTTGGCGACCTGCACTGGCCCTCACAGGCCATCCTCTCTGTGCGGCGGCCGCTTCCAGTTCCGCCCTTGTCCGTGCTGCTTTTCACTTTTTGCATCCCCATGCATTGAATAACCTGAGGTGTCGGTGACATGTTCATGCACTGGGTGCTTTGAGTGGTGGTTCTGGCTCGCTTAGAAGTTTTTGACGGACTCATGTTGTGGCTTTATGTGGGCAGGCTGCGCAGATGAGAGTCGGGGACTTCAGACATGGAGGCCGAACCTCTGGTCGATATGGAAGACTATGGTGTCAGGGTTCATATAGGCTAGGTAAATTTCGGTCCTGTAGGTTGATTTTAGTGAGAAGATTTGCGGGTAGATGATTTGGAAACGTATTATGAATGTCTTGTTGCAAGCGTGTAATGCTTTTGCACAAAGAGTTGATCAGCATTGTATGTTGTTCAAACTGAAGTTGTTGAGAGTTTACTGCAGGCTTATTGGTTGTTGTTTACTCTTGCAGCTAGATTGATCTCAAAAGAGCTGTGAAAGATTTGAAAGACAGGTGCAGTAGCTTGTTGGCATGGCAGACGAAGAAATTCCTATGGGCCAAGTCACACCTGAAGAGAAGGAAGAGGTTGAGCAAAAATCACCCCTGTGAAGAAGAAACCTGCTGCCAAAACAAAGAGCCCAAAAGCAAAGAGCCCTAAAGGAAAGAGCCCCAAAGCAAAAGCAAAAGGAAAGGGCAAACCAAAGTCAAAGGCAAAGGCCAACTCTTTGAAAAGGCCTGCTGCAAGTGGAGAGACCGCGCAGCCAGAGAGGAAACCAGCAGCTCATGGCTGGGCAGAAGGGTTTTCCGGAGGATAAGGAGGAGGAGGAGGAGGAAGCACCAGAAGTTGAAGAGGATGGTTTTCTGGAAAACAATGCTTAAGTTAGAGGGTTTTCTGGAAAAGCAGCTGCCCAAAAAGTAGCAGCCCAAACACTGTGTGGCAACATGTTCTTCCAAATTGGAACTGTGTTTACCTGAGTATGAATGATTTTCTGTTTCACCCAAGTCATTTTGCTTGTGCTTGTCTTTCCTGTGTGCTTATACCTGAATGTGTGTGTGCTTGTGATTTTATCCAAGTGTCTCTACTTGTGGCTATATGGTTTACAAACTACTTTCTTCAAAGGGTGTGTTTTAGATGCAGTTTTGAATATTTGCAAATCAAAAAGTAGAGAGAAAATAGGAAAACCCTTAGTGAAGACCAACCTAAAAAAATTAGGTTGTACTAACCCATTTACACTTTTTGCCACCTAAATTCATCAATTTACGTAAATCCAATAAAAATGTAAATTTACTAATTTTTGTGACTTAGGGCTAGGCCCGTTGGCTCATAGGATTTCAGGGCAAGTCAAACCCATGCACTTGGCAAGCATGGAACTTCCAAGAGCATGAAGAGAAGAGCCGAAGTCGCAATTTGTTGGAGGCTGGCTTTCACTATGCGCACCAATCTTGTTTAGCCGGCGTGGCTTTTTCTGATGCTGAACAGGCAATGTGCAACTTCAGCATCTTTTGAATACAGTATGTTCTTGTACTAGAAGGCGTCCACCCTGCCAACAAGATGCATATTTTGTTTTTGGCTTCCAACAAATGGGGCCGGGGCAGAAATCTCTTCATGAGGGGGATCACATCATTCACGCATGCGCCCGATAAATTCCTTCAGAAGTCGATCAAGAGCTTGCTGATTGCGCCCTGAGCGAAGATCGAAGCGCGTGAACTGCGCGCAAAAACACCCTTGCAAGCGCGCCCACGCGCGTGCCGGGGAGGAGCGGGTGTGGTGACTCTAAGCAGACTCAGTGATTCCTTTTCTTCTGGGGGCATGAAATACCAAGGAAAAAGTGTTGGAGACTTGTTGACAGGCCAGAAAGGTAAAGTAGGGGAAACTTCAGTGGAACAATCACACCATATCTTCCATCTCCATTTCTTCATATTCACGCAGCCACACGCAGCCCGTGCCCACCGAAAAAGCCAACAGTCCAAAGCCTCCATCAGCATCATCTGTCGGTGACACACAGGCTTGATTCAAAAACACTTCCGTGGTGACCACCAGAGAAAGCTTTTGGGATGTGGTGTACACAGGCTTGGTTAAAAGGCACATCTGTTGTGGGACCCTCTTGTGGCGCACTCTTGTAGGACACTCTTGTGTGGGACGACCAAAATCTCCAGAAGTCAACCGTCGCGTCTCCAGCACGAGCGTTGCGTACGAAACTTCCTCCAAAAGTCACACGTCAAGTCTACAAAACGAGCATTTCGCACAAGACTTCTTCCAAAATTCACTCGTCAAGTCTCCAAGCGCCTGCCACGAAAAGTGACAATATCATATCATGTGAGCTTCAACAAAGATTGCACCATGCCACACGTTTGGAAAAATTTCGACACGTTCTGAGCACACTGCCACCCACCAAAATCGCCATTTCAGTTGAGACGTGTCGTGAAAAAAACAGCTTCGATGCAACACCCTGAAGTGCAAATCCCAATGTCAGAGCCACACCCAACACCAAACGCCAATCCCCGCACAAAACCGCAGATCTCACAAAACGCTGCGCCTGTGCAGTGAAATGACCCTCCACACTTGAAAGTCATACGTTTCCACACGTTTCCACACGTTTCCACACGTTTCCTCGCTATTTCAATGTCAGCGCCTTAGCGCCCTGCGGCGGACGGTTGCGAACGGCTGCCGTCGCTCAGACAACGAGTCGCGAACAAGGCTCTACCCCCAGACCCCCAGAGTTAAACGAGAACCCTTCGCTACGCATTCGGGAATGTAAAACAAGGTCACCGGGCACCTGGTGAGGTTCAAGTTGGGTGTTGCGGGGTCAATCGGTGGCTTCAACGCCCACAGACAGGATCCCTTTGCACACCCCTTTCGTCATGTTTACCCTGTTTCCGCGATGGCCTCGAGCCTGCAAGTAATGGCTTCCAACCGAATTAACGATGTCCTCCAGCCTAAAAGCAGGACGCGGGTTTCGCCTTTCTCTTGGAGAGTAAGACGGGCACCGTGCGGAGGTTCAACTTCGGAGTGCCCCGTCGTCCGCCGCCTTTCACGCGGACGCGGACGGGAGAGTGTTGGTGCGGTGGTGAGATGGTTGTAGAACGTGTGGGAGCAAGAAAACGCCTTGGATTTGGTAAACCCACAGGTGATTTGTTGTGGATTGCGTGACGTGTTCGTTGATATCCTAGGCTGTGCAGAAAGACTCCCAGAAATCAACCGGATATCAGGTTCTAGTGCACAACCCTGCATTACTGTTGGTGCAGTTTCAAAGTGGATGGCACCTTCACACACTTCGGCCGGTCTTAGTGATCTCACTGGCGCTTCCATCTGGTGGTTTTCTCATGTTTTCTTCAACTTCATTGATGCTGGAATCCCAAGTGCTCCCCCCAAATATACTGTTGATCCAAAAGATTGTTGAACCAAAAAAAGGTTTTCTTTTATGTACTTTCCCAGTTAGATCTTCCCCACCCACATCTTCAACCTTGCAGCAACACCTCCCAATTCTTCCATCTTCGATCGCCTCAAGACCGGCCATGTCCGAGGTCTTCGTATTGGCGTTGACTGCTTTGACCTGGCTGGTGAGTATGCCCCGACTCATTTGTGAGATCATGGCAGTGGCCTCGAAGTGGGTGCCTGGCAGATGCTTGGTGAAGAGGATGAAGAACAAACAGCTTGGTCAAACGGATGGACGGATGGTTTTTGTAAGTCATACTTTCAAGTGCGATCAACGTGTTCACAGTTCTTCTCTTGTGCTGGCTCCCAAAAGACCCGAAAAAGACGGTGGTGGTTTCCGGCCCGCCCCAGGTCCGGGGTTGGGTTGGACACTTGATCTAGTCCATCCGAAGTGTCAGCTGCAGTTTCTTGGGTTTCCCTCGTCTTGCTTCAGCTCCAGTATTTCGTGTGGCCAGATATCCTGACCACATCTGAGCACTATACTGTATTTAGGACACTGGTAGCTGTCACCAGGGAAAGAGTTTTGACCATCTCCTCCACACCTTGGAACCATCACCATACCGATCGCTGCCCCCGAGCGCTGCCCGTGCGACGTGCGACCTCATTTGGCATCGCCCGCTCGTTTGGCACCTCGTTCACGTGCTCTCCGCACCTGCTCTCCGCACCTGCTCTCCGCACCTGCTCTCCGCACCTGCTCTCCGCACCTGCTCTCCGCACCTGCTCTCCGCACCTGCTGCGACCTTCAGAAAGGAGCCCCTAGTAGCGTCCTCTTGTTCCTAGAAAGGAGACGTCTACCGCGCGGTGCTCTATCGAACCTTCAACATCCGCAACGAGATCGTGGCGTGGATGGTGCGCTCGCTGGAGGCCGCGAACACCCTGCGGAGGCCGCGAACACCGGGGGGAGACCGGTGGGAGACCGCGTCTGGGAGTTGATTTGGGCGGCGCCCAATCACCCAGAGGCGCGACAAAGTCAAGTGTCGAAGTCGATGAAGTTCGAAGAACCAACAGAGCTTGCCTGGGGTACCGTCATGGGATAGTCGAACAGTCCAGTGTTTTTAACAATTGTTGCAAGTTGGTTTTGGCACGTTCGCTTTAAGTGGGAAAAGCAGGGTCACTGGACGTCACACAGGTCTGACAGGAGACAGATTCAACTGCTCCTTCGGTTCAGGTTTCTTTGTTCTTCGTTCCTTTCTCATACGGAGGCTGTTTGGTCGGAAGGGGGGTTGCCAAAGGTCTCACTGAAATATACCATCCTGGCTGTTGCTAGGTGAATTCCATCTTGATTGTAAAGACATGTCCAGTTTTCAATTACAGATGAACACACCATTTCCATTTCGGTATACCGCCCTTTTTTGAGGGACCCGGTCCACACCATCAGAACATTGGTCCGCAACACCGCCAGACGGATCCGCCTCGAGGATCAGCCAGAAGGATGGAAACACTGAGTCTGTGGAAATCGGCGCCATCATCGACGAGCTGCGCAAGGCCTTCAGGAACCACCAGGAAGCCGAGGACTGGGGTGACTCATACATCTATTTGTGTTAAATATATATATATACTGTATACTTATAGTCAACGCATGTCAAGACATGATGAGTTAGAGACTGTTAGAGTGTTTCAACTCCTTTCCATTTGACATAGTTTTGTGCTCCCTCTTGGGGGAAGGCACACAGCTTCCAGGTCTTACGACACGTGTGCCACGCTTACTTTCGGGTTTAACGTCCCCGAAGCTCATGGTGTTGAAGCGGGCAGCTCGTCAGACGGATGTTTGGTTCGACAAGGGATGAAGTGTTCGTCATAAGATTCTAGCTATTCACCTCAGCTTTGCTTGAATAAATGCACCATAAATAATGCACCCGTTTTCGTTGATGTGTTTGGAGCACATGGTGAATCTAAAACAGCTCTATAGGCTAGAAGTGGGTGAAAGCTGAGCTAGATCGGTGGCCAACGTTAAATCACGTTGTGACGGTAAGTGGACCGCAACAGCTTACAGCTAGGATCTCGATCTCAACCTGGTAGAGTTGCCCCCACATGCCAAGAGTTGAACACGAGAGGGAAAGAGATAGAGAGAGAGAGAGAGTTTTGTAGTTGTGCGTTTTTGCTTTTTGCAAGCGAGTTTTGGAGGATGTCATTGAACACCTCTCCAACTTCCTGCTTCAAACGATGGAGAAGAAGGAGTTGGCGGATTGGGTGCGACAAGTGCAGAAGACCGAGGTGGTCAATACAACTCGCTTGGCCGAATGGGACCAGGATGCTTTTCAGTCTGTGAAAGAGATCTGGAGGAATGTGCGCACCAAGTCATTTCAGTGTGTCGGTGACTGGGCGGTCCGTCGGTCCATCGGGATTCGATGGTGCTGGGGATCAGAGGGTGTTCGGTTCGGTTCGCCTCCAGAAGGGGCAAGGAGGGGCACCAGTAGCTTTGACCGAACGCGCAGTACGCAGTACGGCCGCCGTTAGCTTTGCGCGACCGAGAACGAGGTCGCCAAAGAGGTTGTTCAGTGAACTCCCAAGTCTTGCTGAGCATGAATTTACTCGTTGGAGATGGTGTGACGCGTGCGGTGCACCATCTATCACCCTGGAAAAAGCTCCAACATCCACCTGCATGGTTGCTTCATCGTGTTTCCACCCGAAATCCACCGAATCCACCGCGGCGGCTCGCTGCGGTGGCTGATTGGAAGAGCGTATGGCTTGCCCAATTCGACCCCTGGAAGAAGGAAGAATCGACAGCTCCATCATGGGGGCAGGGGGGTTTCCCTCTTCAAATACCAACTCCGAGTCTGCTTGAGGCGAAGAGGGCTCAGAGTCGGAAGTTGATACCTCCATGGACACGGGCGGTTCGGAGCAGCCACAGGCGGGGCGGGCTGAGGAAATCCAGAGAGAGTCCGTACCGCTGGATTGACACATGTTTTCATGGACCACTGAATCGAGAGTGGCATCAGATTGTGTTTGTTTTTCAGAAGTTCCTGATGCACGGCCGGTCGGTGTCCGCTCGTCACGGCCAAAAGACGCGTAGGACGACTTCTTCAAGTCTCGGCCGAAGTTCGTGTTGCCCTCGTAGATCAAAGGGTCCAGCTATAGTCTAATGTAGACTCTTGATTAATGAACCCCCCCTTTCAAGAGGATGTTCAAATCAAATGGGGGGGTGAGGGGGGGTGTATTAATACGTCTACATTACACCTCACTTACTTACTTACTTACTTACATGGATATGTTGCCTCGCTTGCCAGGGCGCCCACCGACGGGTCTGGCAGCTTCTGGAGACAGATTCCGGACCGCCGTAGGGGACCAGCGCGTCCACACCGTTCAGGGTCGCGCGGACGAAAACCGTCCGAACATGCAGTCACCGAACTCGGTGTAGACGTGTGGTGTACACATGGTGGTGTACAAGGGACAACAAGCCAAGCAGAATGAGCCTTAATAGTGGCACATGGTACTCCAGTTTGGGATGTTGCCTTAATATGGTGCTTTGTCAGATTTCTAGGCTGTTCTGAGCAGATGGTGTGTTGGAACGTCGTCTCTTGAGAAATCGAGCGTAAGTAAGTCCTCCAAAGCCTGAGGACGTCGACTTTGCCAGAAAGAAAGATCCGTTTCTGCTGAGCGGCGCTGGGTTTTTTGTTCCCGTTTTGAGATGTCGCTTGCACCGGTTTGGGGATGTGCAAAGGTGTGTTTCGGGGGTCACCTTAGGTGCTTTCTCCTGTTTCTCTAATTAGGTTGCATCCATTCTCCATCATGTTGCAATGCAAGGGCGTGGTGCCAGAAGCAGCATTTGGGCTGATTGTTGACTGACTACTGCACAGAACACTTGGTTAAAGTCTACAAGACATGCTGTGGCCTGGCTTCCAAACAAGCATTTGGAGCAAGACCAAGAATCTCGTTGCCGTGAATTGCAGATGTGGTAACCTTGTTAGATGCTCACTCGACAGGAGCCTGAGTGTGGGATTGTAGCTGTAGTTGGGCCCCTCTTCAAAGGTTGCCCCAGCTTTGGAATCGAAGTGGGCAAGCCTTCGAATCTGGGGCAACCTTCGGGTGCGTTGAACATGGATCTTATAGGGTTATTCAGTGCCCCAGATGGGACCAGGCTGCCATGCTTCGGGGTCCTCAGGGTCGAACCTGGCCCCCCCAAGGCCGCTTCCGTGAGCCGCGCGGGTGCGGCGGAGCGGGCGACGACCAAAGCGGGGTTGGTTTCAAAGGGAGCGAAGGACCGCAAGGAGTCTGGAACATGGTGTCGAACTTCACGTTCAATCTGTCCAAATTGGAGAAATGAAGCTCTCCATGTTCCCACCTTGATTCTTCAACTCCTTCCACCTTTTGTGGGGTGCAAACCCTTTGGTCCTTCGGTCCTTCGGGCCAACTCTCGGGTCCAGGGCGTGACGAGTTGTCGCAACGGAACCCGACCGCGCTGCTGGCCGAGTCGCGCAGCGGTCCAATTTGGATTCCTTTGGACTTCGCGGTCCCGACTTCGCCCTCACAGGGTTCGAAGGAGATTCGCAGGATCCAACTCGCACATTTCCTTTTTCGGGGGGGGGTCACAAGGGGATTCAAAAGGAGATCCAACGACAGGCTGGGAGACCTCAGGAGATCGCGTTTTTGCGCCTCCGGTTCCAACATTCCTTTTTCAGCGGGGAATGTGACCGGCTCAAGGCATCCAAATCCGAAGTGTTGAACCGTTGAGCCATGTCTGACCGGCTCAGATGGTCTCTGCCGCAGAATCACAGAAAATGTTCCTTCTGATCAAACTGAAGTATGTCACGGCCTTTTCAGGCGAATTCAATAACAACTAGAGAAACGGATGTTCACAACACGTTGGAGTCTCTCGTGGTCCTTTTTAAACGTTCAGGTTTCTTGGCACATCCTAGCACCCTGCTCAAAGACTCCTAGCACTGTGAACGACGGGTCACCGTGCCAAAACATCCATCACACCCAATAAGACTGTCGAACCGCTTTTTCGTAAACACCCATCGGCTAGATGGGGGGTCAAGGGTTTGTTTCAGTTGAGTCGAGTGGTTGTGAAATTTTAACTTGTTCAACACAGGAGACTCAAACATCAAATCAATTGGTTTCAATCTGCAAGCAGGTCGCTCCTATTTTCGAGCTTAAAAGCGGCTGCCGAGTGTACACTTCTCGTTTTGTGCGTTTCATCCTTTTGGACGTGCACTCCTCCCTGGTCGACAGGTTTTTTCGTCTGTCGACCAGCATTCCCAAAAGCGAGCCGTAGGCTCAAACCGCTTTACAATCCGCATATCTTGCATTGGCGGATTTCCAACATCGGCCCTGCCACTGCACTGCACCGAGCATCGGTGTGGTGGTTGCCGAGCTGATCCTCGTAGACGAAGCTCGCTTCTCTGAGGCTCCTCTGGCCTTGGGTTGCCCTCTGGCATGCCCCACGCACCGGATGCTCTCGCACTCGATTGGCATTTCTCAGCCCTCTGCAGCTCCTCTGTCGATGGAAGCATTGGCTGGACTCCGCAAGCCAGATCTGCCATATGGGTTCAGCGGCAAATCGTCTCCTCCTTCCAGTCAGGGTGATCTGCAATCGTTGCTCCCCAGGTAGGTCAGCTCGATTGGGCGGTTCTTCTTGCGGTTCAGCTTGTATGGGATTGTCCCTTCCATGACCTTCATTTCTCGTATCCCCATCAGAACTGGTACCCCTTGGCGACAACGATGAAGTGTTCTGCCCCCTGTCATTCATTCGCTGCTGACTTTCTCCCCTTTGGTGTGATCCTTGTCCTCTTTCTTCTTGAATCCTTGTAGAAGACCTTGTCCCGGAAGAAGTCCGCTCAGCCAGTTGAGAGACCCTCACTCTGCGCATCGTTGGTTCTTCCTCCACCCGACCCCATTGTAGGCGGCATCGCTGAAGGATCTTCATGAGTACCATTCCCAGCAACATCATCATGACGCTGAGGACGTACAAGATCTGGTCACCCTCGATGTTCTCATCAACACGCTTGGTGACATTCTCGGCCATAGCTCCATGCACCTCCTTCAAGGCGGACAGCACCACGACGAGCCTCATGGCTTTCTCCAGATGGTATTTGGCCACCAACTTCATGGCGTGAGGCGCGACGATGCCCTTATCTTCTTCGTGGACTTCATCAACTGAGTCCGGTTGCCATGACATTCCCATCCTTTGTCTCAACTCATTGACTCGAGCCACTGGCAAAGCCTTGGTGCCGATGTCCGCAATGAGCTCTCTTCCTGGTTGGTATTTCAGCTCCCAGTGACCTGATTGAAGTCTCCATGGAAGGCGAGCAGCTCGAACTTTCAAGTGCCTCGTGCGCCACGCTCCAGTAGCACAACTTGCTATTGACACTGCAGCAGTGTTGTCGCACTTAAGGAACTTTGGAACATCTCTCACCATCTCATCAACCAGACACGCGATGCTGTCACCAACGACCACTGCCTCGATGACTTCAATGTGTTCAGCTTCTGCTGTCGACAGTGCAGGAAACGGCTGTTTGCAACTCTTCCATGCCACTGGCGCACCAGCTAAAGTCGTGATCACGCAACCATGGCTGTGGGCTCCTCCTGGGGCAAACGACGCGTCACTGACTGACTCCAAGATGAAGTTGGCGTCTCTGCGGTACCACAGGCCAAGACCCTGGGTGGCATTCAAGTGCCGAATGAGCTGGTGGGCCGTTTGAACTGCTCATTTTGGTGCACGGCTCGTGGCTGAGCAAATCCTGCTGACTACATAGGCGATGTCGGGCCTTGTCTTCGTCGCCAGCCAAAGAAGCTCACCTCCGAGTTGTTGTGCCTCCCGAACTTGTAGAGGTGCGATCCAGCTCATCTTCAGGTTCCTGATCATGAGAGTCTTTCATCATTTGGGCACTGCAGAGGTCCTCCATGCCACGTCTCCGAACCACTTCCCTCAAGTAGGAACATTGATTGGCAAAGAAGTCTCCCTGTTCTGTTCGACTCAACTCCATACCACAGTACCGAACCGGTTCTGCGTCTCCCACCCAGGTAGGTTCTGAAGTCTCCCAGGTCTTCCGAAAACTCTGTAGCCCCCCTTCTACGATCTCTTTGGTGCCAAATAGCATCACATCGTCCACGTACAGCAAGGGGAGTCCCTCGACCCGATCACCATCTCCGGAATCTTTTCTGCGCACCAGCCACAGATTCTCCTCCACTGAGACAAAGCCTTGCTGGTACTCGTAGGTGATGTGGTTCGCCTGGAAGGACATTTGGCTGATCTCAATGTCCCCGTAGTCCCCCCAAAGTTTCGGAGACTCTCGTAGGCCATAAAGAGCTCGTTCAACCTCCTGGGCGGGAGCATAAGTACCAACCGTTTTCTCTTGGTTAGGTCCTTCTCGTGCTCCTCCGGGATTTCATCTTCTTGACCTTCGTGTGACCTCCTCCATCGCCACCCTCATTCTCATGAAGTCGACCATGAGCATCTTCCAAGGCGAGTACCTTCTGCCGGCTGCTCTCTTGAAGAGTTCGTAGAGGGGCGTTCAAGAAGGCGGTCTTGATGTCCAAACTAGCGGCTTGCCAGCCACGCAATGCAGCCAGTGCCAAGGAGGTTCTCTCAACATCGCCAACATGGTCATCATCTCCTGGACCAGGACCGTATGGATGAAGTTGAACTTGCCATCCTCCTTGATGCGGCATTGGTCCCCTCCTCTCTTCATGGGGCATGATGTACCCACAGGTGGCCCCGTTTGTCCAAAGCCCCTTGGAACATATAGACCTTCCTCCCGGTCCATTCCCTAGAACTTGAACCACAGATTGTTCTCGCGGTTGAACTTGTCCTTGACCATCACTGTCGTTTCCAGGTTCTTGTACTTCAGGTACCCGGGTACCCGTGGTTCTCTTGGTCGCCCACGTCGTTGGTCTTCTGGTACATGATCTCCCATCAGCATAGGTGACGGTGTCCCCGTTGTCGTACTCGTTTGTGGAGGTACTCCCGCCGGCCCTTCTTCCTTTCATAGGAACGGTGGTCTTTCCTTCTTCACCTCCTCTGGAGACTTGGTAACCATCCCAAGCTGCCAAATGCTCTGCCTCGGAACTTGGGCATATAGGTGAGGAGCTTGGCTCTGTACCTCATGAAGTCCCTTCAGCTGCTCAGGCGTGAAGAGCGGGGTCATCGGCGTCAGAGTTGTTGGTTGTTGGTGGCCCTTTCGGACCCTCCAGGGTCTCCTCACCCTCTTCTTCACCATCTTCTAAGGCCAGCTGATCGTCTTCCAGCTGCCGATCTTGTAGATGAAGGCCTCCCTGATCGTCAGGGTCATCTTCTCCACCTTCGCCTGGCACCTGGCGTCGGCGCCGCGCCATGACCGACATGGCTTCGCTTGCGCAGGGCGGCCCGGCGATCGACCTCCTCAAGCCGGGTCTTATGCCTTCAACCTTGGGCTCATAACCTGCAAGCAGGTCGCTCCTATTTTCGAGCTTAAAAGTGGCTGTCCAGTGTACACTTCTCGTTTTGTGCGTTTCATCCTTTTGGGCGTGCACAATCAACAACTGCAACGAAGTCCAATGAGCACCCATGGCGCAGACTGCATTGGCAAGAGTGTCCCGTTGATGGTGAATTGGGGGTTGGGAACTGGGTGTGTTCTAGTATGTGTCGTTTCAGGTCAGCAATGGTGTTGTGCCAGAAGGTCTTCTGGAGTTTTGCCCCTACAAATTGCAAAGCTTGGTGTCGATGTTGGACATCTCTCTCGAAATGTGACCGACCTACCAGATGTTGTGTGTTTGGATGATGAAGGATGCATTGATGGGGCACCAGCACCAGATTTCATTGAAACGGAAGAAGTTCCGCACCACACGTCTCCACGTCGAAAAATTGCATGGATCAACGGTGTCTCACCAAGTCCCTGGCGTCCACATCGATTCGCTGCTGTTTGACCTCTCCGTCTCTAGGCGTGACACTGGGGCTCGCGCCCTCGCGTTGGCTGGCTTGAAGCCAAGCCAGGGGTCTATCGAGCGGAGAAAAGAGGGTGGTGATTGGATTGAAAAGGTCATGGAATGGTTAGGGTCTTTGGGGGAGCTCTACAAGGAAAAACAACTGATTCCAATGGAAGTGGGGGCCATATTCGAGTGGTGACATCCTAGTGGCAGGTTCAACCGTGTCACGACTTGGCGGTGGCCTGGCCTGATTGGATGCGTATCCAGCTTATGACTTTACCTCTCTCTCTCTACTTCACGCAACTCGCCTTCGCAAGAGATACATAAAAAGCATCTTGTTACTAGTACTAAGTAGTAGTAGTAGTAGTAGTAGTAGTAGTAGTAGTAGTAGTAGTAG